CTGGATACACACAGAATGTAATAACTCTCTGCTATCTGCACAAATTTGGCGCATTTTTGGACAACATAATACAAAAAACAGATCAATATGGCTCTTAAACAACAGCAGTTCCTTCATGTTACAACATATTGGAGTCAGTTTAAACCCAAATGAGCAATGTTGGTTTAGGGCTTATCGGATTTACACAAGACAACCATATTAGTGTCTCCAAATAAGGAAAAAAAAACATCCACTACATCATCCATAGTGTATTTTATATGAAAACAAGCAGCGCTAACTGTGTCGTTATCAACAGAATAGTCATGGAACAGGGTCTGTGGTGCAGCAGCGGTTTTATATTAAATATATATGCATTGTCTTATTAGTTATACATAATGTACTATCCATCCATCCAATATCTGTACACCGCTTAATCCTCATTAGGGTTGCAGGGGGGGCTGAAGCCTAACCCAGCCGACTTAGGGGACACCCTGGACAGGTCACCAGTCTATCACAGGGCTACACTTAGAGACAGACAACCAAGCACACTCACATTCACACCTACGGACAATTTAGAATCACCAATTAACCTCAACATGTTTTTGGACCTTGTGGGAGGAAGCCGGAGAACCCGGAGAGAACCCACGCTGCACGGGGAGAACATGCAAACTCCACGTAGAAAGATCCCGGTGCCCCCACCAGGACGCGAACCGGCAACCTTCTTGCTGCGAGGCAACAGTGCTACCAACTGCGCCACCCTGCAGCCCATAATGTACCATATATATTTTAATTTACTGTTATTATATTGTTATTACTTTCATTATTAGAATTACAGAAAATCTGGTCTGCCCTTTGGTTATGGTGTGGAACATTCACTTGGGGGTCCACAGTACCCCACGTACATTTGCTGTACGTACAAATGTTTTGTTCCTGCCTCCCCTTTTGTTCACGTCTTCTGTGGGAGAGTTAAGCTGTGCTGCTGTAATCTGTGTGTTGTCTAATGTACATAATTTCACTTAGAGGTTAACTTTCCCAGTTCTAACATGTTGTTCTATCATTTAATTTCTGTAGCTGCATAAGTCGAGAATTTGTGTATGTTTTTTATCGTCTGTCAAGGTATGTATTCGGGCTTGTACTGTACTTATTGTATATATTGTATTGAATGTTTCCCGCCTTACGCTGCCGCCCTTTCGTTCACGTATTCTGTGGGAGAGCTGTACAAGTCGAGAACTGACAGTGAATTTTGTTTTATCATCTGTCAAGTTTCAATAAACGGAGATCGCCTCCCAACAGATCTGTGTTTCAGCTCATCACACAACGCAGCACAGAAACCACCGGTTACAGCAGCAGAGAAAACGTGTGGAGAAAATGAAGAAATCTCATCAGGAATGACATTCAACATGTAATGACAATTTACACGCAACTTGTCATATTAACACAAAGCTGCTGCACAAATCATTCTGCCGACACACTAAGCGGCTTTCTTTAAATGTTAACAGCCAGGAAGCATTAAGAATTGATGCGACTGCAGCACAAGTCATAATGACTGGAGGTATGTTTGAAGATGCAGCTCGGAGCATCAACACACGGCTTCCAATGGCCCAGTGACCCAAGAATGCAATGTCCCTTCTTATTTCCCCCGATGGTCTATGTTGAGGAGACACAGATCCTCGCCGCCTGCAGACATCCTGAGAACTGAAGCTATTTTGAGCCTTACAGACGTTGCGATGATTCAATTATTTAAGACCCAAACCTGTGGGTGACTGTGGAGCGGCTAGGGAAGGACAGACAAGTATTTAGCCTAGATATTCAAGCTGAGTCATTGCACATTAGTGGGCACTAAGCAGATTTTGTACATAAAAATGTGCTAAAACTGAAAATTAACATAAATTTTACTTTAAGCCGCTCTGAATACTGGAATTTGAAACTCCAACGAACAATGGGGGCGTCATTAGAAACGCTCAAAAGCCCCGCCGCAGTAAATATTTCAAGTCAATTCTATGGTTTGGTCCATGTAGCAGCACGGGCTGTAACACTAAGACATTGTTTTCTATTACCCCAGACATGTCTCTATCTCATGGGCGATTTGACGCTGACTTGTATTGACTTTGAGGTCGTTTTGACTCTGACCTGTCTTGATCTTGTGGGTGTAAGGACTTTAACTTCTCTCAGTCTCGAAGGTAGTTACATGAAGACTTGCCACTTTCTCTTGGGCGCTTTAGCTTAGATTTGTCTTGGTGTGGTGGGTGTTTTGACTTGGGCATGTCTTAAATTCAGGGGAGCCAGCACGGCACTGTGAAATGTCCACATTTTTGAACAAGTCTGTGTAGCATAAGTTGACATCTATATACTGCAGTAGCCTCTGTAAGGGATAAAGTTACTAAGCAACTGTCAGCTAATACTGACAAAATAAATGCCAACGGGGTAATAAAGAAACCTCTTTGATACGAGGCTGTGATTTCATGTGCACATTAATCTTAGAACCCATTTCTGTGTAAAAGACCAGCACACACCTTGCATAAAAAATATAAATAGAAGACGGGTCTTTCTCCCTGTTTGCGTCGTGGATTTCCGAGGCTCACACGCATCACTTGCATGCTGCTCTCACACCTGGTGCAGCCGGTTTCATTAATTATGGTGGAAGCTTGGAGTTGCAGCTGCCGCTCTGTGAACGGTGCAGCCATGGCACAACTTGTCTTAATCTAATGAATGTTTAAATATAATGTCTGTTCAGCCTCTTTCTTGACTGTCTTCTGTGCAGATTAACATTTTTTTCCATGTCCTGTTTCTTTCACTTCTCAACCTTTTTGAATGGCACTAAGCATCTTATATCACAAGTGACACATTACAAACGACCGGAAAATTTCAGTATATAAATATGGATTTTTTATTTTTCGGTCTGTGCCAAGTTCTTACTGGATCCTTGTTAGAACTCAGTCTTGATTTGGACTTGGACGATTAAAATTTAATTCCTGCCAATAGGTTGCTTGCTTTTGAGCATCATTTTGCAGCTATAAAAGATATCTGACTCTCAGTTTGTGCAAATTTTCCAGTCTGTATAAATGTTCAATGAATGCAGGTGCATTTGTGGGGAAAAAAACAGCAAAATTATTTAAAAATGTCAAGATCACGACATGAGCCAAAACCAGCGAGGAACACAAGACACTAGCTGAAAAGACGTATCACTCACAGAACACTGGGTATCGACTTTTGCCTTCTAAAACCACCTTTGCAGCCGTAATTACAGCAGCACTTTTGTTACCTTTATGTGCAAATGTTAGCATCTATTTTCTTTTTAATGTCTTTGTACATCCACTGCAGTGGTATCAGTGCACTACACCACAAGCTCTACTAAATGCATCCGATATCATTCATGCCCAAACCTGAAATCCTGACGACAGAAAGTCATTTCTGAGGTTACAATGAAGCAGGGACAGAGAATAATGAGGTATCACTGGATGACTGTGATGCTTTTAGACTTGCATAAAGAACAATCATTATGCTATTCCTTTTTTCCCCCCCGATTGACTGTCATATAGATTTTGGACTTGATATTTTTAGCTTGACCTTTCCTCTCCATTATAATGGTGAGAACTACATGTTCACATTTACACTTAGTCAAACTGAGGTATAGGCGGTGAGCCACACCTTGCCACGTTCAGTCTGACAATCAGCTGCTTTCGGATTTTACTGACATTTCAGCTGCAGGAAAATCTTTCCAGTTGTAGCATCTGCCGAAGACAGCGTGAGGATTGTGATGGGAGTGGGCAGAGAGGTTAAAGGAGTAATGATTTAGTCCTCGCTGGAGAGATGTGAGACATTCATCACCGGGAACAAAAAGCCCGTAGCACTGTTAGAGCGGTGGATGGTAGCACTGCTGATAGACAGACAGCTAGAAGACCTGTGCTGATAAGATGCCTTGCTATAACACTTCAGACAGAAGGTTTCACTTCAGGCTTTCTGCCTGCAGGGCTCGCTAATTAATGGATGCTTGGCTCATATGAGGAACTGTAGTTTTATAATGCACTCGAAAAAGATATCATGCAAACTTCCTGCACACAATGCTCCAAACACATTTAAGATGAATTGAATGTCAGCACTGTACTTTTAGGGAAAGTATTTTTAGGAATTTTAATATAGCAGAGGTTAAACTAACTTGCACACAGTCATTATATTGAACACATATGGTTTAAGTCTAAATAATATTGAATAACACTGTAGTGCAATTTTCTGTAATCAGAAAAATGAGAGCCAGATATTAAAAAATCAAATCTAGACAAAGAAAACAGGTATACTGAGGTTACAATGAATAAAATAAGGTACGATTCAGCATGTTAAATAAAAATGTAAGAAAATAAAATAAAAATGTTGATGGGTTTGTTTTATTGTTTTAAAAATGTTACGTGTGGATGCAGAAAACAGACATGCTAATTGAATAAAAACTAATTATTTAGGTCGGTAATGATTAAAGTCCATGTAATAATTTGCTAATAATTTATGTTTGTTTTTTTGTTGTTGTTTTTCTTACCTCAACCTAACAAAAAAATATAAAATTATTATCTATAAAATAATAATAATAATTCTAAACGACATGGTTACTGTTTAGCTCGGTGATATTTAAGTCCAAAAATTTTTTATTTATTTATTTATTTTAATGGGGTTTTTTTGTTTGTTTGTTTGTTTTTAATTAGCTGAACCAAACTGTTTAAATGTGACGTGAGGACAAGCCAAACAGACATGCTAACGTCACAAACACGTCCGTTTAGCTAGGTGCGTTTAATTAGCGTCAGTTTGGTAACTTAAACTTACAAAACTGAAATTAGTCCCACACAACACGGAGACACGGCAACATGCACGCTAAAGAAAAAAAAAAAAAGCTAATTATTTTTAAAAAATGCAACACTTCCGAGGCTTCTGGCGCTATTATGGAGCGAATAATGTCAGAAAATATGACAGTAAAATGTAAATGTGAATCTCGGCGCCGTCCAGCAGCAGCAGCAGCAGCAGCAGCAGCAGCCTACCTCCCGTTTGACGTTCCATAATAATTTCTCCTTGTACTCTTCCTCCGTGGAGCCCTCCATGTCCGTCCGTCCGTCCGTCCGTCTGCAGTGTGCTCGACAACAGGTCTGTCTCCCGACTCTCTCGGTCCGCTCTCCCCGGCCTTTCCGAACCTCTCTCCCTTTTTATTCCTTGTTTCCTTCTTCCCTTCGCTCAGCTGACGCAGCCGAGCAGCTTGGCGGCGACGTCACAGGATCCGCCTTCCTCGCTCCTGATCAATGGAGAGAATCAGCGGCGCTCAGAGGCTCCAGCATCCGCCCCGCCCCGCCCTGCAGCCCGCAGCCTCCAGCATCCTGCACACCAACCTGTGGAGCCCGGGTTATTTTTAGCATCGTCTTGCTCCTCTCTCTTTGTCAGAAAAGAGTTTCAGCAGAGGAAGGCTTGATCTGCTGTGAAAAGTGTGAAAATTCTGGCTTGGATTTCTCACTGTTTGCTGTTAATAATTCACTCAGGTTTATATGCTGATGTGCATGCAGAGCTCCAACAGAGATGAGCTCTTTTTTTTTTACATTTTTTTTAAAAGACTTCATTCATAAGCTGGCCACAGTTGCACTGCACATACGAAAAGGTTGCAGCCCATCAAGAAGGCTTCTATAAATAGTGCTCAGTGAAGCACATGCTGACCATTGTCAGAGCTGCTGCCAGGTTGGCCTGCTGCAAAATAAATGACGTCACGGCAACGTGATCCAGAGGACCCTCCTCTGGCGGAGACCCTGTCATTAAACCTCCTGCTTGTGCCTCCATGTGGGCTGAGGGTGCACCTGCAACCAGCTCTGGATCACTGTATTGTCCTTGTTCAGTACAGGGCAAATACTGCACTTTTTGCTCCAATACAATGTTTGACAGCTGTAGTTGCTTTAATTTATATACAAAACATACCAGGATGTTCTAAAATAACTTGCATGTGATAGCAGGGAAGAGGATTGCACAAACCAGCGGGGGAGTCTGAATGTAGTCCAGTTCAATACAAGTTGTAGAAAGTAGGGCTGGGAAGACGAGAAAACAACAACTACGACTAGAAGTGTTGATGACTGGCAAGCACCCAGCTAGTCGACTGTTTTTCTTCTTGTCGACTTGTCAAACCATTCAGGTTGTATGATTTTCCAACAATTTAAGGCTGAGTCATTACCATAGCCAGAGTCTGAAAAATGCTAATGTTTTGATTTGTTTTGTTTTAATGGCATTGTGTCTTCATTTTTATGTATACATCAAATATGAAATATCACATGATGATGATGATGATGATGATGATGGTGATGATGATGATGACACTCACTAAAGATGTTTGTCCAAGACTGGTGGACGCAAAACAGTTACCATTTTCCAAACCTTGCTCAACTTGCAAAGACAATGCTTTGCTGTCCATCCACCTCAGTTCCATCATAGAGGGCGTTTTCTGCTGCAGCCAACACTGTTGCCCAAGACCAAGCACATCTGGACCTACATACAGTGGAGGAACTTCTCTTCCCAAGCAGCCAGCAAAAACACAGACAGGGTACCTTTGCAGAGACTGTTGAACCAGGACTCAGATCAACCAGGAACCAACCCAGTCCAACACCCAACAGCAGCCAGCACTCCCCTGACTTAAGGGCTCTGAATAAACATCTTGAATTATTCCTAGTGATACGCAAACATTAATTCTGTATCATTCGCTTTTTATTTGAAGATCCATCCATCCATCCATCCATCCATCCATTACCTATACCCTGGTTTATCCTCTATAGGGTTCCATGAGGTCAGGTCACCAGTCGACACAGGGCCACATCAACATCATTATCAACATCTTCTTCCTCAGAATCAGATTCATCACCAGACAAACCCAGAGTCTCACCTTCAGACCAGACACCACTGTCCTCATCCTCCTCCTCATCAGTCTCATCGTCAAGCACATCCACACCCTCGAAGAAAACAACTTCACCGTCCTCAACATCGCTCTCATCATCAGCCACCTCACCATCAGAGACTGGAGGACTACTCACCATACGAAGAGCAACTACCTCCACATCCTCCTCATCAGAGGAGGTATATACCGGCAGAATGTTACCTTCGTCTTCATCCTTGTCAGATCAGGGACCCTTTCAGCTGCAGGACGCTCTATGCTGTAGGTGACGCCTGCAAGGAAAGAAGGGAAAACACATGATCTTTAATATTCCGAATAAAATTTTGTGTCTCGGCTGACAGCAGCATCTCTCCTTGAACACTCGTACACAACCACACCACTAAGGATTCCTATGTTGTTAGTCAGCACAAACAGCAGATGTTACCTTGTTTCAGCACAGCTCCGTCCACTACAAAACAGAGCAGCACAGACAAAACAAACACATTCTCTCCTGTGAAACAACCAGTAACCTTTTCATTCTGACAGATCACAGTTTATACATGACACCATCAACAGCTCACATACACAACGTCTCTGGATCCCGATTCAGATCTGAACACATACATGAACACATGATCAGAAAAAGAGGACGAACATGACAGACATGCACCAACAGTTTAGATTTACTGTTTTAAAAATGCAGGCACCACAGTAGGAACCGGATGCAGCAAAACTCAGCACACCGTTTATTACTAAGATAAAAATCAATATGTCCACCTGTATGATGATAGAATCAGTCCACATCAATGTCCAAACATTTCTGGAGGGATGTTCCGCTGTTCTTCAGAGACACCTTTTTAGCTGCTCCTTGCTGGAGGGGCTTCACTTTTTTCTTCTTTGGAAAACTCATGTGTAATTTTAGCAGTGTGCTTTGGATGGCAATTGTGCTGAAATATTCCTTTTCTGCCAAGCTTTTGCAGACCGGGAGTCATCCACAGACATTCATAATGTCACCTAGAAATGTCATCTCCCCAACACCATATCACCAAACTCCCTCCTCCATGCTTCACTTTAAAGTTTCGTCTTCCAGTTTTGTGCCAAAGAACAAGCAAGGGTATTTTTCTTGGATCCATTATTCATCCATATAGGTTGGTTTAATGCAACGGCCTTCTCACTGTCTGAGCTGTCACAGGGACTAACAGGGATTTCCACTGATGACTGAAGCACCTGGACATTTGTTTTCACAGTTACATTGTGCAAGCAGGGCACTGTCCACGGCTTTATTTTAGGAGCACTGCAGCTCGGACTAGTGGTGCTCTGACTTGTTCTGTATCTCCTGATTACTGTTGCAACTATCCATCCATCCATCCATCATCTATACACCGCTTAATCCTCACTAGGGTCATGGGGGGCTGCAGTCTATCCCAGCTGACTCAGGGTGAAGACAGCGGACACCCTGGACAGGTCACCAGTCTATCACAGGGCTACACTTAGAGACAGACAACCAAGCACACTCACATTCACACCTACGGACAATTTAGAATCACCAATTAACCTCAACATGTTTTTGGACTGTGTGGGAGGAAGCTGGAGAACCCGGAGAGAACCCACGCTGCACGGGGAGAACATGGAGACTCCACACAGAAAGATCCCGGGTGTCCTCACTGGGACATGAACCGGCGACCTTCTTGCTGCGAGGCAACCATGCTAACCACTGATCTACCTTGTAGCTCCTGTTGCAACTATGTTTCCTCTAATTTTAGTTGGTCGCTAATTTTCATGTATTTGATCAGTTTTTTCAACCGGTCGAGGCAGATGGCCGTCCCTCCCTGAGCCTGGTTCTGTCGGAGGTTTTTTTCCCCCGTGGGGGTTTTCGGTTCCTTCCCATTATTGCAGACTGCTTGTGGACTGCTGAAGCTTATAGGGAATCCAAATGTTTTGGATTGTTGGGTGTTTCTGTCTCTGCCTTTGTTAAGCACCATGAGATGACTTGTTGTTGTAAATATGCGCTATACAAATAAAATTGAATTGAAAATTGAATTGAATTTTTGTTTGCTTTTTTTAATATTCCCTGATGCAATTCTTCTCTATGTAGAGCCGTGATGCAGACATGCAGGAAAAATACAGGAAAAGTAGAAACTCAAGTTAATACACCTGTGATCACTGAATTTTCAATATAGCTCGTCTAAGGTGTGTGTTTTTATTCATTCATAACATGAAATACTCTATTAGGTGATGCAACTTGGAATCATTTGACATTCAGCGTGATATTGCAAAAGTGTTTACTCACTTGTGTGATGTATTTTAACCGCTAACACACTACATACCAGAATGGCAACATCATCGCAACGGTGAAGTGCGGTGGGACGGCATGACCTGGGCCTGAACAGCTCGCCATCATCGAGGAGAATGTTCATCAGGATAGTTTGAATGTGGTTATTGAGCAGAAGCTTGGCAGAAGTCGGATGATGCAGCTGGACAATGACCCTTAATATACAAATAAATCTTTAGCAGAAAGACTTCAAACTAAGAAAAAAACAGCTTTTGGAGTGGCTGAGTCAGTGCCCAGACCTGAACCCAGCAGAGATACTGCAGAATCAGATCAGAGTGTTATTCACTTCAAACATCCTGAGGCTGAGCCGAAGCAGTTCTCTGAGGATGAACACTCCAAAAGGTCTGCTAACTTTTTCCAGCAGCACTGTCAAATGGGTTTTCAATAAACGAGAAACATCAAAGTTGCTTGTGTATTATTAGCTTAAGAACATTGTGTTCATCTATACTTGTATCTCAGATGAAGGTCAAGATCAAACTTTATTACCAAGGAATGCAGAACACTAGGTCATCCCAAAGGGTTCACATACTTCCTGTTGTCTCTGTGTACATCATAGAGAAGATAGCGGGCATATGATGTCCTTTTAATTCAACTGTGGAATTTGTGTGAGCGGTTCTGGTTTTTGGCACAAGGGTTACAAACAAACCTCCTTTTTGAAGTTTAGGTTAACAGACCAACCACATGCACTGTCAACAAATGGAGTGTTATTTACCATCAGCAAGAGAGAGAAGATGATCGAGAACCTTTTTTTAAAAATATATTTTTATGGGCTTTTGCCTTTATTTCAGAGCAGTAAAGATAGGCAGGAAAGGGGAGAGACCTGCAGCAAAGGGTCATGAGTGGGAGTCAAACCCACGGCTGCTGCAACAGGGAACTGTAGCCACTGTTCACGGGTCGCCTGCTCAACTAGGTGAGCTATCGGGGCGCCCAGAGCCTTTTTAGATATAAAGATTGCAGACATTAGCATTTTAATGACCTGGGTCAACAACACGACTTGAAGATACAATAAACAGTGAAAAACTCTGATCAAATTCCCAAAGCCAGAGGTGATACATTTATTCATTCTGTCTAAATAACACTGCAAAAATCTCAACATATTCATTTTATTATGTTAAAAAAAAAAGCAATTCCTCACAAAAACCAGTTAATTTATCTCATTCTTTCTGCTTTAGTCTGCCGTTCATTTGTAGAACTCTACTCATTTAGATATTCTGAATCATTCTTCATTGAAAAGCGCCTCTTTTCCATTTCTGCTCCTGCGAGCGGCTCTACGTGTGAATGTGTGTCCGACTGTGGCTGAGAGTTTTTGCTCCTGTTCTAAATCTGTATTCTGATCACACGATATGCCCATTTATTTAATTAAGTTCACAGCGGCGTGAAAATGCTTAGGCAGTTTTGTTTGCCTCTCAGCGATGCTTGTTGAAGCATAAACACAGAGCCCTGATTGGTTATTTTATCTTACATAGGCACAAAATACAGCCTGGTTGAGCGTGGTCAGCTGATTATCAGCACGCAGGGGGGTTTGAAGTTCTAATACTAAATATTTTAACGAAGTCAAACCACATTTTTATTATTTAAGATCATCCATCCATCCATCATCTATACACCGCTTAATCCTCACTAGGGTCGCGGGGGGCTGGAACCTATCCCAGCTGACTCAGGGCGAAGGCAGGGTAAGATCAGCATTATTTATTTATATATATTTTTTTAATATATCTGTATTACCATTCAGTATATTTTAATCCTGTTTTTAAATAACTGTGTAATTAGTATGCAGAAATGTCCCACACACCAGATCGGAGTTCACAGGAAACAAGGAGTGCATGGAATGCTGATATCAAACTCACTGTTGACTGTGTATTACTTTGCAAAGAGAAGGAAACTCTGCAGATGGGTGATCAGCATGATGGGAAAAGGCACAAACAGAGGCTGACTTCTTTGTCAAGTTCTCTGTAAACAGACACACCAGCTGCTCTTCTGACAAAGGAGTTGCTCAGTGAGTGCTCGCTGAATTTCATTATTCTAATTAACAATGTCAAAACAAATGGTATGATTGTAAAGAAAGGTGATATTGCCAAATTGTTATTACACATTCCGCATGGGCTGAAATGTTCAAGTTTGACCCCCGGCTGGACCTTTACTGTATGGAACCAGCCCTAACACTCACTGCACATTATTTAGCTTTACTATGGACTGTGAAAGGCAAAAAAGAGAACTCATTTACAATGTTGTAGTCATTAAGTTATTACCACTGAGCTCACTGAATTGCATGACAGCAGTGACTAAATATCAAGGTCACCTGGTACCTCCAGTAGAGAGAAGTGGTGCATGTTTGGTGAGAAGGCCACGTCTCTAAATAAGACGAGCAGAGCAATTCAGAACACAAGGAAAACACACCCCTATTATTAGTAGGATTTACTTTCCAGCTTTCATTTTCAAATTTTTTTAACACAACTAGTAGAGGGTGATGGCTACAGAACATCCCTCCGATTTCTTCTGCAACCATTCCGTCACCTCTCAGGACCACCTTTGCTTTTGCAGCTTTGGATTCAAACTTTGAATGCAGAACCTCCATCCAGCTGCTTTTTTGCAGATCTTTCTGTGTTGTCTTAGGTTTTCTGTCTCTTCTTGGAATTCTTTAATAACATGCAAACCCGCTTTTAACCTCCCACTCTACAAGTGCAAGTTCATTCCAGTTCATAAAATATTTAATACTTTAGAGATGGCTAAGAATACAGCTACATAACTGACAACTATTCATGCAAATATTCTTAAATGTTCTGCAAATGTTCTTCTGTTCTTTCATTTATATTGTACATACCTCACCTCTATGCTTTATAGTTGTGTTTTCTTGCTTTTCTTGTTGTCACTTTGCTGCTTTGACGTTGCAGGTTTCCCCTTGTGGGACTAATAAAGGATATTCTATTCTAAAATCTGGCTCAGCATCTAATACTACAGGTTTGCACAGGCTTACAAACCATTTTGGAAAATACAACGACATCAGAAATGCATCCTTAATTTTTAATAACTGCAATAAAAGTCTCGCTATGTGACCTGTCTTTGCAGCTGAACAACTCATCACAGCTTCTTCATTAAAAGGCGCTGCACCGTCCCTCTCCACATGGATTTGGAGGTTTTCTGTTGCATCTCCCTCTGTACCTCATTTATTTCCAAAGGTGTGAGCTGAGCTGCATGTTGGGATTCTCGTTCATCCCTAAAGCGACCCTCGCTGCCATTTCTCAACCTTTCTTTATTGATTTTTCTCACCGTGATGCCGTCTAATCTGCAGCCGATCTTCCTGGCCTTCTTGTGCTCCTTTTGTTCTCAGTCAAAAGTCCTCCGTTTATAAACGTTTTGACGACAAGCTCGTCTGTGGAGGACAGAGGATTTGGCTTTTTGCTGATCTATAGAAGAGTGACCTTCCTTCATTTCACTTGTCATTATTGCTGTTGATATTAACTAAGTAGGTCCAAGATCATTTATTGTGGATGAACTCTATAAAGTGAATTAGCCTTGTACTTATGTGTTTTCTACTATATGAAAAAAACATCATATCGACACGTTAACAGAGTAAAAAAAAACTTGCTTTTCAGCAGTCAGCAGAGGAAGCCTGTAACTTCCCATTTACCTCCAGGTGGCCCAAGCAGATTAACCACAGAGGGATGTGCTTTTTTGAATTGCAAGCGGATGTATACAGATCAAACCCAGTTAACCGGCTACATACTTTATGAGGCCAGTTTTTTCTGTACCACCAGTAACCACAACAAACAACATGGACTTAAATGTTAAGTATTAAACCTTTAGGTACAAATTTCAACATCAGTCTGTAGTTATATCAAGTCAACAAAAACAAGAATACAGTCGTGGCTCTACAATCTGACCCTTAACAATCCAAAACCTTGCTATCCGACAGGTTTTTAGGGAAAACAAACAGAACCCATTAAAAACAGCCTTAACATACCGACAGCCTTGGATTCCGACTCCGACATGACATTTTATGTCACAAATCAGGATAACGGTGTATTATCTGACTGAACAATCTGACAGATTGGCTACATTCAAACTGCAGGACTTGATGCTCCATTCAGATTTTTTTGTGAGGTTCGTTTTTCTTCTGAGTTCCTTCACATTTCCAATTAAATGCGACTTGTATGTGATCTGCTGTGTGAACTTCATACGACCCAAGAGTGTCCTGCATGCACAGAAGAGGACACGACGACGTCACGCACAGCGAGCGTGCTCAGTGTTTGCGGAAGTAAACGTGGATGGTGGCGGCAGCGGTGGTGATGGTGGAAACAGAAGTGTGACCACTAACTAAACTGGCATCAGCAGCCAAGTGCTGCCTGCGCATTCCGGCCACTTCCACCCCATTGGAGCGCTCCCCCGGGGTGGAAGTGGCCCCCCAACCGTGCTGAATATTCAGATATTCATCATTAATTGACCCTGAATATCCAGAGACCAGTAAGTGCTATTCAGACCAGCCCCACTAGTTATTATAACAACTATGAACAACGACTATTAACAACAAATGAGCCTTCAAGCATCAAGCCCTCCTTGTATCTCGACCTCCGTCTTGACAATCCGACAGCCTTGCTATCTGACATAAAAGAAAGTTCCACATTTAGTGTCGGATTATCGAGTCACGACTGTATTTTACTGTGTGTAATGTTCTGCACCTGACAGTTGAGTGTCAATTTTTCAACGACATCCGCTCCTTTAAAACACAACAAAGACAAACGACAGTAGAATAACAGAGACTTTTATCTTCACAGTTGGTAAAAGGCATTATGGTCAACTGCATTAAAACATTAGAGGCACACTAATTCTGGTAAAACTAGAACACATTTGTCTCTGGCAAACAACAGCCTGTAAATGTGAAAAACGTATAAATATAAAGCAGCCTCTCCAGCTGATGCAGAGTATAAGTGCTATGATTGTAACAATATTTCTTTTAAGAAATAGTGCACATTAGTGATTTTTTCCTCCACTACTGATCTAAATTTCATAAAAAGCTACAGTTCTCTAGCTAATAGATGTAGTCGCTCTGGATTCTCTGAAAATAATGCATAAGTTATGATGGACAGAGCATGCAGCTAACTAGAGTAAAAATTCACATGTAATTACATTGAGGCCACACGTTGGACCTTTTTTTAGATTGTGGTAGGGAAAGTAAGATCATTAAAAGATTCAAAAGAAAACCATATGAGCATCATCAGATTTCATGTGTGAATGTTTACCATCCACAACAAAAAAAAAATGGAGGAATTTAAAAAAAACAAACAGCTGAAATCTGTCCAGCGGTTTGGTGGTTTCAGTCTCAGTGTCCCAGTGGCCGGTCATCGTACGTGCTGTACCTCTTGACATGGATTCGACGGACGCGCTCACGCAGCTCAGCTCCCCCGGGGCCCTCTTCTTCCTCGCTGTGAGAGCCGCAGTTGCTGTAGCTGCGACGCGTGGCCTCTAGCAAGGAGTTGTCGGGCAGCGGCATCGTCTCGTACAGCAAGGTGTTGAGAGTCTCCTCGTAGATGCGAGCTTCGGGAAACTCCACCTGAGGCAGGCGACATGGTGAGTAAATGTAGTGGATATACATGACGATTCACAGAACAGACAGCTTCACTCGTAAATACAAACTGCTTATAACAAATACACCTGGTTGCTATGTCTGCCTACAGCGGTGTGGGGATGCAAACTTTGAGTTACCCAATAGTTGGCCAAGTCAACCCTTTATGGGGCACCGACCATATTTGGTAACTTCCTTGGACGGTCAACATGTCCACCCTGTGCCTCTGCTTGAGGTTGAAGAACCATGTGCGCTTTGATTTAGTTTTTATCCATCCATTATCTATACACCACTTAATCCTCACTAGGGTTGTGGGGGGCTGGAGTCTATCCCAGCCGACTTAGGGTGAAGGCAGGGGACACCCTGGACAGGTCGCCAGTCCATCGCAGGGCCACACTTAGAGACAGACAACCAAGCACACTCACATTCACACCTACAGACAATTTAGACTCACCAATTATCCTCAACTGTGTGGGAGGAAGCCGGAGAACCCGGAGAGAACCCACGCAGAAAGATCTCAGGTGCCCCCACCAGGACGTGAACCGGTGACCTTCTTGCTGCGAGGCAACAGTGCTACCAACTGCGCCACCCTGCAGATTTAGTTTTTATATTAGTGCCAGTGTCACTATCTTACGAAAAATGTCACTAAACAAATGTTCCAGGTTGCACTTAATCAACGCTTTGTTACTGGTTTGCATTGAACTCCACTTTGATTTATTTTTTGAGATCAGTGCCAAAACCACCACCCCAAGAACAATGTTACCAAATGAACTTGCCAAGCACTTTATCAATACTTTGTCACTGGTTGTGTAAGGATCATTACCTCAAACTAACATGCAGTTTATTGCTTTTTCTTTGATTTACTATAAAATCCCTTTTTTTCCCTTTTTGTAAACCCCAGATGGGCAAGTCGCCATATATGGTAACTTTATTAACCTTGATTTGCAATTTTTAAAATAAATTTAAAGTCACAAAAGTAAAAAAATATATCTTGAAATATCCTTTAATAACACCCTAGGGTTGAAATTTTTATTTTCCAAGTATTTCAGGAGTGGGTTAACAATCAATAATCAGTTAATCATGCAAACAAATTAAACACAGTGAATGTTTTGTTCCATATGCTGATAAAAAATGTTTTTACCCACCAACACTAATATTTGCTGCAAAATCAGGAAACATCAGGAAATAAAAGAACACCAGCTGACTGAATTATAATTAAAGTGGCAAAAACTAATTACAAGATAAAATCCAAAGTATGACACGCAGCAGCAGCAAACGGGCTTCCACAGTAAATCACCTGTAACCTTATTCGTCTCTTCACAGCGGTTTGATATCTAAATAATCAGCATATCTGATCTACATGATGGAGTGACTTGTTCACTGTAGCTGATGTTCGTCCAGCTGCTGGAAACAGATGCTCAGCGGGAACAGATGTCCACAAATACAGGAACTGTATCAGTCCAGGAAACCTGTCAGTATTTACTGCCACCTCTAAAATGTATTTATACTCAGAGCGGCCCGTCGCCAATACATTTCATCAGTTCAGTTTTAATGTTGTTGGAAGTATGTAATCAGAGTCCTGCTGCTCCTGGGTGTTAGCAGCTACAGTTGCTCTCTGCTGATAGACACTATTTTCACACATTTATGCTACAACGCTCATCAACATGAGTGCCAAAGTTAGCAGGCAGCAGAGAGGTGCGCTCTTTTTATGGACTCTTATGAATGCTCAGTAAACACTCCCGTAACTATCTCAAGAAAAGGTGAGAGGCTCCACCTGGTAATGCAACAGGATACGACAGCTGCTGGTATTTTGGGACATTTATTCACAAAGCTAGCACAGCTACCCCAACATCCTGCAGAGACACACTGTCCCATCTGGCCTGAGCTTAGTGGAACCATCATAGTTTTTAAGGCCAAAGACACCTGCAGCCTCTTGACCAAGAAGCAGAGTGATGGAGGTGATCACAATCACTGAAATAAACCCAGCTGAGATCATTTGGGATGACCTAAAATTCATAGTGGAGGGAAAAAGCCAACGAGTGCTGAACATACGTGAGAAAAGCTCCAGGTGAAGACCTCATGAAGCTGGTTGGAGAAAGACAAATGTGCAGCGCTGCTATTAAAACACAAAGAGCCGACCACTAAACCTTAGAATTAAAACATGTTTTGTTTTGTTTATATTTTTGACATACGGTCGTGACTTGAAAATCCGACACTAAATGTAAAACCTTCTTTTATGTCGGATAGCAATGCTGTCGGATTGTCAAGACGGAGGTCGAGATACAAGGAGGGCTTGATGCTGGAAGGCTCATTTGTTGTTAATATTTATTGTTTATAGTTGTTACAACTAGTGTATTGTTAGAACACTACGCATCGCTGGATTTCACGCCTAATAATAATAATAATAATGCTTAATTATTGTTATTTTCTTGTACTTTCTATATTTTTGGATGCTGCTGTGGCGTGTAAAGTTCCCCCAATGGGGGATCAATAAAGTATTCTATTCTATTCTATTCTACTCTAATTGACCGGTGCGATTGTGCACGTTCTGGCCAATTCCACCCCATCGGAGCACACCCTCGGGGTGGAAGTGGCCGAAACCCACAGACAGTATTTGGCTGCTGATGCCGGTTTAGTTAGCGGTCACACTTCTGTTTCCACCATCGGTGGCGACGCTCCATTGTTAACATTCATGTTTACTTCTGCAAACACTGAGCGCACTCGATGTGTGTGACGTCGTCGTGTCCTCTTCTGCGCATGCGGGACACTTTTGGGTCGTATGAAGTTCACACAGCAGATCACATACAAGTCGCATTTAATTGGAAATGTGAACGAATTCGCAAAAACAAAAAAATCGAAATTGAGCATTAAGTCCTGCAGTCTGAACGTAGCCAATCTGTTGGATTGTTCAGTCAGATAATACGCCGTTATCCTTATTTGTGACATAAAATGTCATGTTGGAGTCGGAATCCAAGGCTGTCGGTATGTTAAGGCTGTTTTTAATGGGTTCTGTTCGTTTTTCCTAAAAACCTGTTGAATAGCAAGGCTTTGGATTGTTAAGGGTCGGATTATCGAGTCACGACTGTATTTTTGTGTTTTAATTCATCATTTTGAAGTCTTTCGTTTTTTTCCCAATATAGAAAAAAATGTATTTAGACTTCAAGACAGTACATTGTATCAGTCTCAGTCTTTGATTAGCTATTTTAAATATCAAATATTTTGCTACGCATGGGTTTATTTGTGATTTCAGCTGTGCAAGAGGCTAAGAAATCCATTCTCCTGAGTAAATCTGGCTTAGAAACCCTTGTCCACTACATAGAGCCATACAAACAAGATTTCTCCTTTTTCTTCCCTTTTCAAAAACAGCAATTGTGACTTTAGTCATCCACACCTTGGTCTGCTTCTTCTCTGTAGCGTAGACAATGGAGGTGCAGCACACTTCAGCCAGTTTGCGACCCTGACCATAAAAGGACCAGCAGCAGATCTCGTCTCCGATCACATCTTTGATGAAGAGGACTCGGCCGTTGAAGCTGAGGGACAGCCTGTCAAACAGCTCGATGTTCTTCAATAGGTTGTCGTCAGAGTTACTGTCAAGACAAAAACAAACTGGTGCTTCATCATTTACTCCAACCAGGAACCAGGGGCTCGTTAGACTTTATTGGCTGGAAAAAAAAAAAACAGTTTCCCTTCACTAAGTACTTTGAAGATGACATAAAAATCAATTATCTTTGTAGTAACAGAGTCGGTGAGCTCTCTGGAGGAAGCTTTTCTTACCTGGTGTAGGAGTACTTGTTGTTGCTTCTGTTGTACACCAGCTTCACAACAGGCTAACAAAGAAAAAAATGGTTAAATATGAGGATTTCATTGCTTTTGACATTTAAACATATCATCAGTGAATTAACTTTTGAGTAGGCAGCATCCATTTGGCAGGAAAACTGTGCTAAGAGAGCAGAAAATGAATATTTATGTGCATTCATTTAAAAATATATGCAAATGTTATCTTCATGTTGGAGCAGCTCCGAAATGAGATTTAAAGATATGAATCATCTTATTTGATCTTATAATTATCGAGAACAAATTCCTTGAAAAGATCAGTCACAGAGCATTGTTATGCTTTTTTTACTGGTAATTTTCTGGTTCCAACATGGTGGGCGATCCAACTTTAGGTAATGCTGTTAATGATTCAAAAATACATTGTTTAGTATGTTTAGCCGTTAAAGCTGATCTAACAGGTCTTTCCGCTGCAGACGTTTAACTTGTCACAGCAGGAAAAGCACAGGGGAATGAAGGCTGCCTTCCAAAATACATCCGTTTTCTTTTTTTACTTCAAAGTACATGCCACAGCTGCCCTGACAAAGTACTGCTTCATGCAGCGCGCAAACAACTGGGACATACTTCTCCGTCATCGTAATGTAAAATCATATGCGCGCTCTTGGCAGCTAAGCTTGTACTTGAGGGAGACACTGTGATGTATGTAACGAAACTGCACAGAGGTCAGAATTGACAGAAAAGCATCCATCCATTATCTATACACCGCTTAATCCTCACGAGGGTCGTGGGGGGCTGGAGTCTATCCCAGCTGACTCAGGGTGAAGGCAGGGGACACCCTGGACAGGTCACCAGTCCATCACAGGGCTACACTTAGAGACAGACAACCAAGCACACTCACACCTACAGACAATTTAGAATCACCAATTAACCTCAACATGTTTTTGGACTGTGTGGGAGGAAGCCAGAGAACCTGGAGAGAACCCACGCTGCACGGGGAGAACATGCAAACTCCACACAGAAACATCCCGGGTGTCCTCACCGGGACGCGAACCGGCAACCTTCTAGCTGCGAGGCAACGATGCTAACCACTGAGTCACCTTGCAGCCGTCACAGAAAAGCATGCAACCTCAAAATCTGTATGTACTTTTGACACACTGTGTATTGGGACACTCTATAGCATGGTAGTATAGATATTGGAACCCAGAAGACGCCTGCTGTGAAGGTTCTGGTGTAGCCATTGGTATTGGTTCTGCATTTACCTTGGTAGAGGACTGGATGAGCCTCTCCTCCTCTTTACAGGAAGTGACTACAGGTATAACGCACAGGGGTTGCTCTTTATTTCCCTGTCAGGCAGAAATAGAACTGTGTGTTAGACATTAAACGTCAGCATAGCGTCTTTGATACTGACAACATATTTAGCCACTTTAAACAGTCATGAATGTGTTAAGAAGTATCGCCGACTAATTACAGTGCTGCTTTAGTTTCAACTTTTCATTTTCTATCACTCTTCGAACCATTTCCTTACAGCAAGGTTACTAGAAATTTCAAAATGGCAGCTTGCAAGTATTTGGACATTCTCTGTTCTTGAGGTTCTGTACTCAACACATTCTGTTTGAAATAAATTAATAGACATCACATTGAAGTGCCAAGTCTCTTCTTTATTTTGAGTAGGTTTATTTTGATGTTGAAAAAACTATGTGGGAGATATACCTCTTTAACATAGATCAAAGTAGCTGGACATTTGGCTAACGTAGCTGTGTTAAATCACACACTAAAGACTTCCCACGTGATTCAGAGCTGGCTCGGAGTTTAGGGTTACACAAGGAAAAAGGTGGTAAAGAAGATAATGAAAAGGCTCAACAGAGGTCCACATCCAGCAGAGAGATATCAAAGGCAGTTGGTTTCCCCAAATTAGCCATTTTTGACTATATGGCTGCACACCAAGTCAAGAATGCTCTGCAGGATGTAGGTCTGTTTTCTGTTATATAAGCAAGAGAAGATTCCCTGAGATGAACCTCACAAGATTCTGCAAACTCCCGGGAAGCCTCAAACACAGTACGGTCAGGCTGCAGCTTGGAAAACACCAGCAGAGTTGTGGAGCAAACTTTTCTGAACTGATGACACAAAAATCTACCCCTGCAAAAAGGATGGAAGGAGGAAAGTGTGAACACAAAGAAACTGCTCGACAGCCAAAGCACCTCCTGTGTCAGCTGTTAAATCTGCTTCTCCTATGGTTTGGCCATGTATTACAGCCAACGGACTCACCACACTGACATTTACTGATTTCACCCCTGATGGGAGCAGCAGGAGGAATGCAGAAGTAAACAGGAGCAGACTGTGTGCTCACATTCAGACAAATGCATCCAAACTCATTGGACCACACTTCATCATTTAGCAGGACCCCAAATCCTAAACATACAGCCAAAGCAACCAAAGAGCTTTTTCGTGGTGAGGAAGTAGAATATCATCAACTGGTGGAGTCAATCAGCTGATCTCAAACAGACAGGAGCAGAGAGACTCCACAGCTGATGGGGTGTGAAGGTGTCTGTGGTGAGGTCTGGGAGAGCATCACCAGGAAAGATACAAAACATCTGCTGCCTGATGCCTGTGGTTGAAAGAGTTCAGGCCCTGGCACTCACTGACTACAAAGGATTTTTTGCCATATATTAAATATTCATCCATCCATTATCTACACACCGCTTAATCTTCACTGGGGTCGTGGGAGGCTGGAGTCTATCCCAGCTGACTCAGGGTGAAGGCAGGGGACACCCTGGACAGGTCGCTAGTCTATCACAGGGCTACATTTAGAGACAGATATATTATATTAAATATGATGACTTTTTTAATCTGTCTAATTCGTTCTAAACCCCTAAACTTTGGCCACTCTGTTCAAAGAGCTAGATCTCCCATGAAGTCTTTTTTCATTGATGTAAACATGCTTAAGTTAACCCTCTGATCCACAAGCAGTTTTCAGTCACATTTTAGATTCACTGTGGGCTAATTTTTCAGCGCATTATAAAGTCCTGATACTTTATGGAAGCAGCACAACCGTGATTAGACGTAGAGAACTTTAAAATGTCACAGAATCTGGTTACTGCAAAAACCTTTTTTTGGCAGCTTTTTAAATGAGACATGTAGAATAAAGTGATTGTGATTAAACAGTCAATTTGAAGCCGAGATCTGGATATTTTTCCCAACAAAACTTAAAGTCACGTGATTAGATGTCTGAGGATTCTTCTAGTTTTTACAGTTTCTGGCTCTGCAATTTTGGCATAAAACCCTCCCCGAACTAACGTACTTTTCAAACCTGCTGGTCGGTTTTGGGGTTCAAAGGATTAAAGCTAAGACTTGGCACATTAATGTAGTATCCATTTTTGTATTTTAAATTCATTGTGCTTAAGTACAGAGCCTGAAGAGCAAGTAAAAGTGTAACTGTCCACATACGTACAGTCTAGACTGTGTATTAGTCAGCATGGATGTGACTGACCTGCAGGGTGTTTTGACAAAGCTCCACTAGACCCTCGATGAGGTAATACTTTGCCTCAGCCAGCAGCTCCTGGACAGCCTGGCGGCCTTTTGGTAAAGTGACTGTGCCGTCACGCAGGTAACACAGGATGCTGCCAAAGTGTTTCCCATTGCGATCAATCAGGATCCAACCTGAACACAGAAAGGTGGTGGCTCTGAGAACATGCATACTGAAACCACAATGGAACACCATGACTTCAAGTTTGCACTCAGAAAAAACAATGTGTGGCCAATAAAGCAGCAAACCCAGAGTGTTTGAGAGGCAATGGCACTATGTGTGACTCTCTCTGGGGTTATTTTAATGAAATTCTCTTATTTATTCTTGACCCGTTACGATCATGATGAGCAAAAGGATGAGGTCATGAAAGACATTTGCAATGTTACCCTCCTAAATACATCAGTGAAGCCATGTGTTTTATACAAGTATAGGGATCACACTCTGAATAGTAAGAGAGCTGTTAGAGGTTATTGTGTTGAAATTTGTATTATTTTACCTGAAATGACATGTTAAGCAGAATATTAAAATGGCAAAAGTACTTTCAGCACCAGATTTGTGTGAAAAGAAAACAGTATAACATGAATTTTATAGGTACAGGAAACAGTTAGTGTCTGCTATTCAGAGACTCTCACCTTCTTTATCTGTGAACACTTCCTTCTTTCCACTGAACATGGCTTTCAGCATCGAGTTCTGCTTGGTCAGCACTTGCAGCGTGGTGTAAAACAGCGTCCCGCCGACGTTGAGGCGGACATATTTGTTGCCCAGCCCCACCGCTCCTCGGTAACTGCAGGTCTTGGTCTTGGGACAAGCCAGAGGAGGGGCGAGGGAGTTAGAGTCAGACTGGGTGTGATGCAGGCAGCTGTCCCCGGACATGTCCCTTTGGAGGTAGATGACCACCCTGCAGACGGAGGTCCGAAGCTCCCCCGCCGTGGTGACAGCTACTGATGAGGCCGCCACAACCTCTTACTACTGCAGATCATTCCTGAGAAAACAAAGAGCCATGAATTGAGCACCAAAATGACCCATGGAGCTGTACAGAGAAGGTCAGCGCTGATAAAAGCTCATTTCACACATGAACTCCTTTTTGTTTCTCTGACAGCATCTGAAAGTTTCAGCTTTATGTCAGAATAAGGTAACTGGTAACTCGTCCATAAAAGTTCCATAGGCTGTTTTACTAGGTTGGGCTTGGTAACATCTCCATGTCACTTTGAACACAACACATCTGACCTGCATCGGTCGCAATCATGGACAAGCTTAGATGGGCGATGTACTGCATTGTGTGTAGCAATTTGGGACCTTTTCCATAATTCAACACTGATGTTAGTCCCTAAACATCACAGACAGCAAAAGACACAGTTTAAGTTTCAAACTCACAAAACACCTTTCTCATTCATTCTCATCTGTTAGAAACTGAAATGTCCATTAAAAAAACAAAAACAAAAAAAAAAAACTCACTGTGATTAAAACTGAGCCTAAAGCTGAGATTGACAACAAGTTAAGAGGAGATGAAACTTCATTTGTTACTTCCAGCAGTTTGTAGTGAGTTTATTAAACACCTGCATCATCAGACAGCAGCAAAGCAAGAGAGCTGCATGTATTTCCACATGTTGGACAGCTAAACAATAGCGCCAGCAACTTCATTAATGACTTATCGTTATAAATTCTTTCTGTAATGGAGACAGGATCAGTCTGGTTCAAGATCAAAGTCACTGTAACCTGCTGTTGGTAGAAGTTGGATTATCATCACACATGGACAGAATTATTAGTCATTAGGAAAACATAAACAAACTATACTGTTCGTTATTTGGACAATTTGACAGGATTGCTATCAGTTAACACTATTTTCTTCGTTAAGGCATTATTTAATATATATTATATACNGATTCATAGTTCTTGGTAGCTATTGGGATCATAATTACATCTGCAATTACTAAATGTAAGAACTATGCAATCAGAGTGTGACATGGAGACAAGATCAAAGGTCAGTTACTGTATCCACGTAGGAGGACGGTGTATGAATGCTGGTAGGACATTTCCTGTTCTTCAACTCTAACATAGTATCACTGTCAGCCAATCGCATGACTGGATATCATATCAGCGTGAACAGAAAATGTAGGTTTCCCCTCAGTGGAGAAGGCTGCAGATGTAGGGTCAGATCGCCCCCTACTGGTAGCTGCCGCTGAACTGCAACAGCTGCTCATCACAGTGAGATATACAGTCGTCCTCAAATGTATTCGTCCCCTTCCATTAAAGAAAAGGCAAAATTCACAGTAATCACTCAAATAACTAGAAACTGAAAAAAGTAATAATAGATAACAATTTGCTAAATTCTAATTTAATGAAATAAGGCATTGCTTTTGAATTGTGGTTGAAAAAAAGAATTTTAAAAAACAAAAAAAACTGTCCCGGACAAATTAGAGCACTTTGCTGATGAGCAGTGAATCCAAACACCTGTCAACAGGTGCAGAAGTCTGATTGAGAGTTACAGAAAACACTTGATTGCAGTGATTGGCTCAAAGGGTTGTTCGACAAAATGTTATAGGTCCCATCATGCTTGTTGGTTTTCTGTTGAACCACAATTCAAAATCAATGTCATGATTTTCATTTTTTTTAAAAAAAGTATTATTACTTTTGTCAATTTCACTTTATTTCAGTGACAGCTGTTTTTCTCCTTTAACGGAAGGATATGAATACATTTGAGGACGACTGTAAATGACAAAGTCAGTGTAGAGATGAAATGATGAGTATGACGTGATTGCAACTGTTACCGTGGGAGTTATNGGAGAACATGCAAAGTCCACACAGAAATATTCCGGGACGCGAACCGGCGACCTTCCTGCAGCGAGGCAACAGTGCTAACCAACTGCGCCACCTTGCAGCCCTAAAATAAATCAAAGGATCAATAAAGTTGTATCTGTCTATCTGTCTATCTATCTATCTATCTATCAGGAATGTAAAATGAATGACTGAGGCTGTCAGACTGTTGAACTCGGGCTGTGCTCTGTGGACTCACCACCATCACACACAGACTGCACCAACTGCACTATTAAACACTTGTATCCATACATATGCAATATTTTAAACACCAAGTGCAATACTACAGTCTACCTCGCTGCTACACATATGTTCAGTGCTTATTTTTACTTATATTTTGCTCTTGTTTTTATGGTTCTTGTTTCTTAAAAACCGGGACCTGAGTACTTATTTCGTACATGTGAATGTGAGCTGGCATGACAAATAAAGTTCCTCGAATCCTTGAATGACAGTCACATTTACAGACTGGTGGAGCATAAAATGTTAGATATCGAATGTTTGAAAGAGGCTAAATACTGTTGAACTGGTCAAGCAGGCCGCCCAGTGGCAAAAAGCGTTCATCACCGAGTGGAAAGCACCAGCCCTCCTCTTATCTTTCCCTCAGTTCCCTTTCCCATTAAAAGGAATGTGGCTGGGCCGGAAACTAAAGCGGGAGGAAGGGAGGGAGAGGAGCACATATCAATGAGTAGATGACAAATTATGACATACATAAAACTCAGTTATTATTTTTGTAATTAACTAAAATTAGCAGTTGAACCTGTAAAGTGCAGCAGGTCCTGGCAGTGGTCCTGATTTAAGCCACTGTCTCACATTGTCCCAGCTAACAAACGTTGGGGTTTCAACCTCCAATTGGTGCCTGGCTAGCTGGTTAAACTTTACCGTTTTTAAAGCTACTTCGGGAAACAAGTTGAACAACACTTAACCTCACTTAAACTGGCGAACAAACTACTTATTCACTTAACAAACAGCTACTTAGTTAGCTAAGGGTAAGTTGGGGTGTCCTGTCGGGTCGTAATGTTGATACAGGCTGAACTCGCTTAAAAATGTGCCTGTTGAGACATTTTAAAAGCCGTAACACTGCCTAATTCTACCTCAGTGACTAATAAGTACACCTATCTGGTCAATTCTTGTCGTCTCCACCGCTAAATGCTTTAAATACCACTATATAGTGAACGTTTTCTTTGCCGTGCGTCAGTTTGTGTCACCGCTACTTCTTACGTGGGTGTGTTTTGCTAACGTTAGCTAATGTTTCAACAGGGGGGCAAACTTTCACCGCAGACGCTACATTAGAGGCTGAAAATACACTGAGCTACGGTCTCGTATTATACAAAACTCACATTAGCACAGCCTAAAATATCCTTTGAACAAGTCCCCCAGATGTGAATGTTCTACCGCACAAAGTGACAAATTGACAGATTAGTCAATGGAGTTGGGAACGCTGTCGCCCTGAGCTCCATCCAGCAGCAGCGAACAACACGCATCAGTCCACCAAGTCCACTTACCGGCCTCCCCGAGCTGCCAGACGTGTTGTCAGATACCCGCTGACCCGACACCTAACTTGGCCTTTTATCATCGAGAAACAAAAATTCTCAACCGTGTCGAGATTTGAGTTGGCAACTAGTATGAAAAGTTTCAACTCTCCCACACCTTCTTCTCCCACTGAGTTTAATGCGAGCTGAGCGTCGCAGAGCACAATGCTGCCCCCCAGCGTCGGAGACAGGAACTGCCTCCATCTACCTGTGTGTCTGCATCATGAGTCCACATGGAAAAGAACTACCAGAGGAATAAAAAAAAAAGTCTGACTATCACTATTTTTAAGAGAAAGATAAAGCAACAAAACTCCTCCAATAGCAGCTAAAAGAAAAACACTTCATGGTTTTGCCTTCGGGTTTCTACTTGTGATGCATGATATTAAAATTTCTGGCCGATACCGATATGATTCAGATTTTCTGATATCACTGATAACCCATATTACCAATGTCGATATTCAATTTTTGTTCACACTGAAAAATGAGTATAAGTCAGCACTGTGAGAACGTGAAAACTATTCAGAAGAAGCCATACCAAATTAGACCACATAGTCTTCTTTATAACAAAAGTAAAACATATTTATACATATTTAATGTTCAAGTCCAGGACAGTTTAAGTAAAAACACCTGTGAAATAGCAGCAATATGAAATGTAGAGATGAAGGCACGAATGTTAGACAATCATCGGTGTTTCACGTCGGCTAAATTTGTTCATCGGACCAAATACCGATGTCTGGGGAAAAAACATTAATACTGGCCGATACCGATGTGGTCGCTGGTATGTCATGCATCCCTAGTTTTCACAGTTTTCTTACGCTAACTGCAACACCTGCAGGGAGCACATATGGAGATGGATGTATCTTAACTCTCCAAATAAAAGTTCCAGTGATGTCCTGTTTGATGCCTGTGACTCTGAAATAGCCACCTCTAAACGTATAGGGGAAGATGGTGTTCCATATTTGTCCTAGTGTTTAATGAAGACAGGCATTAACAGAAAAATGTAATAAAATAAAATAAAATAAAAAGAGGCAAAATATATCATAATACACAATTTTAATCAGATATGCTAGTTTTTATCTCGAAAGTCAAACAAATTTGACTTATTGTACTATAATGGAACGTTATCTCATAATTTTGACATAATCATCTCCTTTATAATCCAAATAATTGGTGTTTCGGCCTCTCTGCAGGTATTTCTGGCTCTGGAGCTGCACATTTCTGATCCTCCGCCACCTCCCCTGTGGTTATTGTATTGTTGTATGTATTGTTCTCCTATTGTATTGTTTGCCTGTTTTCTATGTGCTGTCTGTTTGTCTCTCCCCTTTGTCCTCGCCCCATCCGGTCGGGGTAGATGACTGTCCTCCCTGAGCCTGGTTCTGCCGGACATTTCTTTCTGCTAAGTGGGAGTTTTTTTTCTTTCTGCTCCCATCAAAGAGCTTCCTCATCTGCACTTATATAGCGCTTTTATCCAAAGCGCTTTACAATGTGTTTCTCGTTCACCCATTCACACACACATTCATACACCAACAAACCAATGGTGACATGCAAGGTGCTGCCTGCCATTGGGAGCAACTTCGGGTTCAGTGTCTTGCCCAAGGACACTTCAACTGTGGAGAGGCAGGGGATCGGAGGATCGAACCGCCAACCTTGCAATTGGAGGACAACCTGCTTTACCACCTGAGCCACAGCCGCCCTCTTCAAGCAAATCAGTTTAATTTTATAATGAATAAAAACGTGGAAAAGACATAATACCAAATACAGCAAAATTAATCATATTTTAAACTCAGGAAATGAAAAAAAAAAAGTATAAACAAGTTGAATAAAGTGTACACAGATGTTATATTATGATTAAAACTGATTGAGGACATATGTGATACAATAAAAAAAATAAATTAAAAATCAAATGAAATTAGGTGGACAATAGTAAAGACAAGTTTAACAACAGTGTAGGAGGTTTGGACAGGACTTTATAAAGTAGAACTGATTAATTAAAAGCAGTGAAAAGCAAAACTGTCTGTAGGTTATTTCTGGCTTAGAGAGAATCCTTTGGATTTGCTGGGTTTCTTTTTTATAACATAGTTTTGTAAGTTGCTCACCTTTCTGTGGGGATTGTTCTGAAATTACTGATGCTGTGAATTGTCGCACATTATGCCTCTTTAGATCCGAGCTCTTGTTTGATAAACCTTTTTTTTTTTTAAATTTCTCTTAGCTATTTGATCTGATCAATAAAAAAAAAATATAAAGAAAATAAAAATATATTTTAAAAATATGTACAAAAAATTAAAGAAATAAAATATCAATAATATATATATTTTTATCTTTACAAAAAAATGAAAAATAAATTAACTACTGTAGAAAATAACCCAAAATGTGATGTCCATGGATGTGGACGCCAGGTCATAAGATGTTAGTTTTCCTGTGACACTGACACACAGCAAGTATCTTACAATGTACGGCAGAGAACAACAGGCATTGTTTAAAAGTCTATTGCGGATTTATTTTTTAGCAAACAAATCGGACAGGGGCTTACATGCTTGCGAGGTCTGACACATCACTAACATATAAATTAATTTACTGAATAAAATCCACTGTCTTACATGCCTTACTACACATTTGACTTGACCAGTTTCATAGAGCCCCTCTACTAGAAACATTACGGTATTTGACTTAAGCGTACTAAGGATAACCGACGGTTGTGTTATTTGAGCGTGTGGCATTACAAAAACACTTATGTGGTCGTGTTTTAGCTTTTTAGAAACGATGAAAAAGCACCAGAGAGCCGGATTTCAGTTCCGTGGAGCCTTACCCGGAGCTCACAGTGGTATCACTGTGTGGTTTCCCTGACAGCGGCGGCGGCGGGAGGAGGAGCTTCGCTGCTGCTCTGCTCGCGCTGCCACATAGACACACAACACACACAGAGCCATCCGCGCTAACGGTGATAGCGGCGTAAACAGGTAAAATATGGAGTTTCACCTCCTTCAAATGGCAACTACGGGCGAATTTAGCTATACTACTTAAGGAACTTTCAAAACCTTAAACGGGGCGGTGTGTTTGGTCCAGTTAGGTTGTGTGAGCCGGCTAGCGAAATTGAGCTAAATAGCTAAGTTAATTCAACTAGCTAACTAATTTTAGCCAGATAGCTAACAGTAACAGTGTTAGGCTGGCTAATAGGCAGTAATGTACACCGGGTAGATATACTCGAGATCACTTTTTGAGACTGTAGGTGAAGGTATGAGTTAACAGTGCTTGCTATACTGAGAGCTGACGTTAATGTGAACTGCTGGGAGGAAACCTGAAGTTACAATTAGAGCTCCGCTTTTAACACTTCACCCCCAAACTGAAGAGGAGAGTAAAGCTGCATGTAAAATGGTCGATCAGTGCCAGTATGCCTGGTGTGTATGGTCACTGAAGGTCAGAGTACGATCAAATGTTTATTTAGCAAGAACAGACGGGCCATATGTTAATACTAGTGTCTCCATTAACTGAAGGCGCAGACAGACAGTCAGCAAAGCACATAGTGTCTCTGTTGGTGATAGTGAGCCACCTGTCAGCAGAACACACTGCAGATTATCAAGCTGTAAAGCCTGTTGATTTCAGTGCAGCTTATCTTCCTGATGTTTCTAATTGTACCCCTGAACTCCAACTTATTGATGTTTGCTTTGTGACAGGCCCTGTGGCCATGGCTAAAGACCCATTAGCCGAGGCAGGCTTTTACTTTGACGAGCTCAACAAGCTGCGGGTCCTGGAGCCTGATGTCAGCCAGAAGACTTCAGAGCTCAAGGAGGAGTGTAAAGAGTTTGTGGACAGTAAGCATACAGTGAATTAACCCGCCTCCACCTCCCAACACCAGCAGCTTCTACTGGGTGTACAAATGTGTGTTGTTCTTTGCAGAAATCGGCCAGTTTCAGAAGATAGTGGGTGGTCTAATAGAGCTGGTGGATGAGCTGGCAAAAGAAGCAGAGACAGAAAAGATGAAGGTAAGTTTGACATTTGGCCAAAGAAAGCCCTTTGTGGACATAGGATACATGACACTGCTGCTTCATCGTTCTGTTACAGTGACAGCATTTAACACTTTTATGGCAATGTTCATCACAGCTTCACTGAGATATGCACTGATAACTTCTAATTGGTATTAATTAATGAAGTTACTGCTGTTGTTCCACATGTGTAAATGCAGCAGCTGTCTCTCTTTGGAGACACTCAAATCAGAACACATCATTGTTCACTCTATCAGAAAGTTGGGTGGCCGTCATTGGCAGTTAGAAGAGAACAGTGTTGCATTTTATTCATCTCCAAAGCATTGTTTGGAAAATTACATGAATGTCTCACTTGTCTTTGTAATTATGGATCAATTTCTCATCAAACTAGGGCCCAAGATTTTCTAGTCTTGGAAAACACACTCATTAAAACTGAGATCGGGAAACAAGCTTTTCGATGTTATGCGCCCAAGTATTGGAACAAAATTCAAAACCTGTTGAGATTAGATCGTCTAATCCCATTTGACAGGCCTTTGTGTCCAACATGGAGCAGTATGAGTGGACTTGTTTTCTTTCATTTTAACTTGTACACTCTCTCTAACTTATGATTGTTTTTTTCTGTATGTATGGAGTGTTTTATTTTGATTGTCTGTGGCGTTTATTCTGTATAGGAGAGTGTATGTCAGTGTAAAGATCTATTCTTTGTATTTTACTCTGTATTTTAGTAATAGCTGAAAACTGTATTTTTTGCATATTGTCATGCTTACAGGGCACCCACAAAAAAGAGAGTATCTACTCTCATTGGGGCTTTTCCCTGTATAAATAAAGGCTAAAAAAAAAAGGACCCTGTTGCTGTCTGATGCTGCAGGTATTTAAAAAAAATTGTGGAAAGACTCCTACAAACAATTTGAAGCAGCAAACCAAACCTCAACTAGTTTGTAATATATGTGAAATTGTAGGGCAAAGGGAATGAGAAAAGTGTTGAGCAATTTGAGATCATGAGAGTAAGTCTGTGTTAGTGATTATGTGCTGTTCTCCTTTAGGCAATTGGAGCCAGAAACCTGCTGAAGTCGGTGGCAAAACAAAGAGAGGCGCAGCAGCAGCAGCTACAAGCTCTCATAGCTGAGAAGAAGATGCAACTCGAGAGGTAAACAGTGTGTGTGGGTGGACTTCAAACCCGACCCACACCAGCCAACACAGTGCTGGTTTGTGCTACATAGGTCATGGTTTCCCGTGCATTCAAGTTCAGCAACCAAAATAATACATATCACTCATGCCGATCTAAATCAGTGGCTTCTGTAGCAAGTAAACTAAATGCCACTGGTACCAACAGCAGATGGAATATATGTTTTTTTGAAAAAAATTGTAGGTTTCCCAAATATAATTAAAAATGTGGCCTTGAAATCTTGATCAAAATACGTCCACACATTTGTGCTGAAAATGACTTTCAGGCTCTAGAAAATGTGGCCTGTGATGAGATATTTCAGCCAATCAAATAG